CCAATCTGCTCATCATTACATACTAAACTAAGACCAGCATTTAGCCCTAGTGACCTACTTACAACTTCATCCCCACAGTTAATTCTTTATCAACCCCTTGTACTTATTAATCAGCTCCTCTGACCTACCTTTCCCTAGAATCATTAGCCCCTATATGAACCCCAAAAACTGCATCCCTGCTAGCTCCCTATATTATATCTCCTGCTCTGTCAGTTATATCCTCGATCTGTGCCCCTCGATAGTATAATCTGATTCTTTTCTCTCTATTTACCCCAAAGGTGGATAAAGGGTGAAATTTCTACCGGTCTGTTGCTCAACAGGGACTTCAATAAAATATTTTCTTAAAATATCCAAGACATCTGTGTGGTTTGTTTCCATGAAAACCCAGAAGAAACCATTTCAATGTAGCCATGAGTCAACTTCATTCTGGTGACTGAAAAAAATTTGGCCAACAATTATATGACAAAATTTTCAGTAAGTTTTGTCTAGAAATTTGAATGTGTAATCTTGGAAAAAGGCTAGAAAGGAGACCAAGTATGTATGTCATTGGATCATACAGAAGCTTAATCTATTTTGGAATTATCTTAAAGAGGGGGATTTATTTTTGTGTTAAAAACTGTGACTTGTTTATTGATATGATTTTTTGATGGTGATTAAGGAGACCAGTTATGATTCTTAGAAGACCTTTATAGCATCTGATTAAATGTATTAAACGTTTTGTAAGAACAAATCTACATATCTTACACAAGTACAATTTAATTATTGAGTAGACTTAATAATATCAATGAAATGCATGTGTGTGTGTTTATAACACTGAAACAGGCACATCAAATACCAAATGCACAAACTAAATTTACTCACCTGACTGTATTTTCAGTTGACTGGTTGTCAATCCTTTTTTGTGGAGAATGTGACTGACAAAAGGTTTTTGAGAAATTAACCCAAGATATTTTTGATCCTGACACTTTATCAAGTACCTTTAGCCTGAAAATATCAGTAAATTGATATGGTTGAAAGTAAAATCTATGAAAGTGAACTTAAAGATATTATCTATAGTTTATAGTTCATGAACTCAACATCAAAATTATGACAAAATATTGAAATGAAATGCTTCAATCATTAATTCAGCACCCTGAAAAATGTTTCTAAAAATACTGGAAACATCAACAAACTTAACCTTTTACCTTTCCAACAATTGTAAAAACAGTGATGAAGACATTGGCATAATAAAATAGTTTAGAACAGCATGAAAATCCTCTATTTTCAGGTAACCAGAATTTGAAGGATCTCTCAGTTGAAATGCTTGTTGTATTGCAGCAGAGTTACTGTAAACCTAGATTGAGAAACATTTACGTTTAATGAATATAACAAAATACATTTTAGCATTTATATGTCTTCAGTTATCTCACATACAGGAGTTAAAGCTTTTAAATATTTGATATAAAAAGGTTGGTATGTATATGCACATGCATACGTTTCTAAGTATTATGATTATTTGAGCACCTAAAAGAAGGGAAGCATAAAATAGAATAGTAAAATGATAGTAAAAAGGCTGTTGAAACTAATAAATTAATCATCAGTACAAAAATGTAGCTTATTAAAACTCTTGAGCTATGTTTCAGGCTAAAAACATGTTTCAAGCTAAAATGCTTCAATAAACTGAGTTTCTGATCTGATATAAAGTTTTATAATTAGTTTCAATAGCCTATCAAATATTTTCCTTGCCTACTTGTAAGATGTGTTGTGTGTTTCTAAAAAGATATTAATATATTTCTTTTATGTAAGATCTATATTTTACATTTTTGAAGTTGAACAGTGTTTGAAAAGTATTTTTTGCCACAGCAAAAAGGGATCAAGATACTGTATAAGTTTGTTGTAAACAAACTTTTCTTTTTCTTTGATTTGCTTTTCTCTGGTGTTCCAGATGTTTCATAAAATTGACCATGATCAAATACATTAAGAAATAAAGAATAAAAATAAATTAAGCCATTAAAAACTTGCCCATTAAATGATTTTCACAGCAGAGGATAAAGAATTCAGCAACAGAAAATATTATTTATTGTCCCAGTGGCAGATATTGTTCCCTAAAGATATGAGGGAAGTATAGAATGAGAACAGATTAAGCCATTAACATTCTTATTTATTTAAAACTTCATAACACTGTTTTTCTATGGCTTTCCAGGAGACAACCAGATTTTCCAGACCTGCAAGTATGCATCTGTGGTCACTGACATTTTAATTTTTCTTCATAACTCTACATAATTAATACATATTAAATACATAATAAAATCTTCAGGACATATTTTACTTTAGACTATGGTACTAGAGAAAAATACATTCAAACAAGGGCATTGCAACTGGATGATGGACAGTAAAATGTTGAATCTTTATTTATTAAAAAACATTTTATCTTATCCATCATTAATTATAAGAATCATATTAATAATACTAAATAAAATAACATCAAGAGACTGACCAAAATTATGTTAAAGTAACCAATAATTAGCATATCTAAGCATGGTTTGTGAGAGCTTGCAAGGTCTGAGATATAATAAAAAGGGGTTGGTTTCATAATTTTTACTGGTTTTGGGGACAAATATTTAATTTTTTCCAACTTTTGTTGGACCTCTTTTTCGAACTCCTTCACTTTTCCAGGTTAATGGCTACCCTATTTAAGGAACATTTCAGAAGGAGAGAAAACTACCTATAATCTTGATGTTAGGTCATATTGCTCAAAACTTATCAGCATTGTAATCCAGCCATTAATAGTCAATTTTTCTGTGACAAATTTAAATCAAATTGTTGAAGAAAGAAGTCAGGAAATTACATATAACCTATATTGGAAACAGTTAGGCCACATTTGTCAAGCTAATAAGACTAAAGACAGAATAGAAGTAAAGAATAGGATTAGATCAAATTGCTCATGGCCTTTTTTCTATTTCAAATTCTACAGCAGATTGTTGAAGGAAGAATAAGAAATGGAGAATGTTACTTATAACTCTAATCACAGATTATTGTCCATAAAATGAATTAAGTTCAAAAATACAAATAAAATAAAGAATTACAACAGATCAATCCATAAATGGTCTTTTTTTATTGGTAATTTCATTATAGTTTAATATTAAAGGAAGAATTTTAGCAACATACTGGTGACTTACTTAAGAAAGATATTTATGTGACTTATGACATAAAAATTATTTAAAACTGTGTCTATAAAACAGTAAATAATAAAAAATTGGTTTGCATGGGTCTCTAAAATACTTGTATTTGTAATTTGACAATGCATATATCCATATATAAATATGAAATACATTTTACATCATTAAATCAATGCTATTTGAAAGCCTTAATTATCATTTTTTAACCAAGAAGAACACAATGACAGCACCTTTTCTTTAAAAGTTTTTTCTATTTCCTCCAATTTTAGGTCTTGAATTGAAGGATGATTGTTTTCCTCAATAGCTGATTTCTCCTCAATATCCTTGTTCCTATATATGAATATGCTATGGTTAATGTATGCATATAGTACCGAATATTTTAAAACTTCACCAATATCTAGTGATTAATTTAACAGGAACATTTATTTTTATTCCATGATTGCAAATAAATTCAGAGAAAATATATTTCATTGGATTTTAAAGAAAATCTTCCAGTTTTTTTATATCTCTTACAGTACTTCATTGTGGAACATGTCAAGAAAAACACCTATATTAAGATTTTATAAACATCAGTAACTTAATCTAAATGTATTCCATTTTCCCAGAAGCATACATGTAGAATACAATTTTAAAATCCCTATGTATTTCAGAATTATTTATTAACACTTATATGCTCTAACATTGAAAATGTAGCTCTAATTAATAGGACATTTTAAATAACTTATCTAGATAACTACTTTAAATCTTTATGTCACAATAAATTCCATAAAGACGACTACTTTCATTTTTACAGTTGTTTTTATATAAAAAAGAGTTTTCATGTAAACTATGATATTTTATAAAATTATGATTTTATAATTTATGAAGACATTTTTGCTTAAAAAAAATATTAGATTAAGAATGAATCTGATGTAAAGGAAAGTAGAAAAAATATATCTTCTAATAATGAAAAAAGATTGTTGATAATAAAAAATATATTATAAAAACATCAATAGCAATTAAAAACTATTTTACTTGCAGATGGCTTTCTCCTTTATCTGTGTCTTAATGCAACAAAGATAACTTAATCTTGTTAAAAATAGTGTTTTAGTGTTAAATTCAATAACAAACTTATTATTTAATAATAAAGTTAGTAAGGCAAATAAACAACCATATTAAGAAGCTAAACAGCATCCTCAACTGTATTTCATTCCCAAGGTAATTATAGGTTTGTTTGTTTGTTTTTAAGCACACTACAGAAATGGGCTATTTGTGAGGTGTCCACCACAGATATCAAACCCCAGTTTTTAGTGTTATAAGCCCTCAGCCTTACTGGTAAGCCATTGGGATGCAGTAATCGTAAAAGCAACCTGTGAGGAATAATTGCTATATTGCAGGGTGATGAGCTGTCTTGATCAATGGGAATTACTCAATTTCTGGGTCAGTAAAGTATAAAACACTGATTAGCACATCCAATAGTAATACATGAAATAAGGTTTACAATCAGAACCTTTGGTTACTGAAAGGAATTGAATACAAAGCCTTTTTTAATTAATCTAACCTATATAAAAGCCAGTCATGTCACCCTTGATTTCTTGAAATACGAGGAGTCATAAAAGCCAAAATGCCTTTATCCAGATTGAATAGTTTGATTACTGTCTGCTCATTATGATTTTAGTGATGGGGGTGAAAGGGGGCTGTGAGGGGTGTGTGTGTGTGTGTGTATGTGTGTACTGTGAAACCTTATAAGTGTAGTAAATGTTGACATAATAAGCCTAAAGTTAAGAGATAGTGTGGAATCACCTAGCCTAGAGCCAAGTACATAAAATTTATCATGAAAATAAAAATATCGATTCAATTTTAAACTTAAATAATTTCTGAATTAAGCTATTTTCTGTTATATCATCAGTGTTTTTAATAAAACAAACTTTTTTAATTAACAGAGACTTTGAATTAACAAATTAACAAATATTTTTCCAATTTTGTTGTATATATATTTAATTTTATACTTTCAGTACATAGGCAAACAACATTATTAGATTATACTTTTGTTGCTAAGCAACATGACATAAAAGCCATTGTTGGATGTTACCAAAAAGCACTGTATTTCTATATATA